TATGTTAATAATTAAATTTTAATAAATTAAATATAACCAAGGTATTTTTTTTTTATAACGGTTATAAAATTGTTGAAAGGGTAAGTACGATGATACAAATATATGTTGCATATGATGCTTTTTGTCAAGTCTTACAAATTTATAAATAAATTAGTTATAAAAGGCATAACTAATTTAAATAAGATAAGATATACTTGGTTTATTTAATACAGAATTAATTGTATAATATGGTTTATAAGATGTATTTTGTGATACATGATTAATTTATAAAGATTTTCATTTTTTTTTTTTTTAAATTATAACAGAATGCAGCAAATTCTGTTTTAGCAGCTGATTTTTGTGAAGGAACCAGACACGCAATACTGACCTGATGTGCGGGCGAGGTGCGCCGTACTCCTTTAACATAATTTATTTAATGGGGTTAATGTATATCACATTTGAGGAGCCTGCGGCATATATGCCGCATGTGGCTTTCGAGAGTTAGCTGTGGTACCGGACTACTGAAGTTTTCACGAGATATTTATTAATTAATCTCTAGAATTAATTTATATTTAACTATTTAAGTTGCGAGTTAAGAAAAGTTACGAAAATTTTAAAACTAATAGAAATAAATTGAATATATATATACCTATGTGTGTCTGCATTTAGTGATAGTAAAAATAGCAATAATAAAATATAAAATGTTGTTACGGAATCCATTAGCACTGCCTAACTTTACTGCGTCTCGAATGATAATGATAAAAATATTCCCCAACTAGGATTTGAAGGCACTTTTCAATCTCTTAGAGGAAAAGGGTTCGGTCTGGATGGAATCTTCAGCAAATGGACAAAAGGTCTTGGACAATCCAATAGTCTTTATTATATTACCTTCAGAAAATATGTCTTATATTTCATTCTTTATTTCATCTCCTTCAGGTTATATTCTCTTTCACAAGATCCTTTTGAATTCTATATTTAGCTGAAGTTTTATACTTTACCATGACATTTAAAGTTAAAATTTACGTAACAAATGATAAGCTTTTATCCATTGGAAAACATCCTTGCAAATTAATATTTTAGCAATAAGATCTCATAATGATTCATTATTGTAACCGTTTATGACTTATTTTGTTTTGTACAGAAAAACATTGTTTTATATCTTTCTTTGTTACTAACAGTAAAATAGTGTATTACTTTAAGTATAAATTAAGCCATACCTAGGTATTTCTTTTTATTTATGTAAAAGATCAATAAGTTTTTCTCTATATTATCCGAGGTGATGTAAGGTTCTCAAGACCTTTTATCCTCCATCTACCGTTTCAGTAGACTTTGAGTTCGTAGAATCATAAATAACAATATTTTAATTTTTAAACCTAAAAATCTTAATTAAGTATGATTTTTTTTTCTTTTTTATCTATTTATTTATTATACTTATAATTTATTTAATTCCCTACGAATTTCAATCTATTTTTTTTAATTTGATTTTAAGTTACATTTCTTTGGTTTTATAGTTTTTGCCTTTGTTATATAGATATATACATATTTTTTTATTAATTACGATTGTATTGTATTAATGTAACTTATGAATGTGCCACACTCAGCTTTAGTACTCAATGCCCTTAAGTGTGGCAAAATGTATTGTTTCTCAATAAAAAGATCTTTAAAAAATCTCATAGGTATCCGATGGCAACCATATAATTTCTGAGTCTTGAGGCAAAATTTAGGATTTATCTCGAAAACGATACACTTTTGAGATATAAAAGACCGACCATAGTGTATTTCTAAAAGAAGTATTAGTACTGACTAGATATTAAAAACCCATGAATGCCATTTCCACTTTCTAAGATAATATAATCACAAAATCGAAATAAAAAAAAAAAAGGTGCCCTACAAATATATCGGGCCGTTTGGGCTATGTAACCTCGATACTTTGGGAGTTGAGGTCACGCCAAACGGTCCAATATTTCTTTACGCCACATTTTTTTTCGACTTTATAATAATACTATCTTACGATTCAAGTGGAAATCAAATGGGTCCATTCATGAGTTTTTATTAACTAATAGTGTTGCCCAAATGCGAGACGAGTCTTGGTCTTGCAAACTCAGTCTTTGTCATGGTCTTGATCTTGCTCAAAGTCTCGCAACTGTCTTGCTGTTACGTAATAGCTTAATACTATAGATATATTACTGTAATTTTTTAGATACGAGAAACTCAACTAAGCCCGAATGAAAAATTAGAGGAGTTAAATGCAAAAGTATATTGGTTATACCAATTATTAACATATAGTAACTAAGATCGTCAAGTATTAGTAAATATTTTGCCTTAATTTTTATTTAAAAAGTCAATTTTTTTTTTATCAGTCCTGGTCTCTGTCTTGCAAAGTGCAAGACCGAGATCGATTTCGGGCAACACTAGTATCTAAGTAAATAGACAAAGTTTGTCGATCTCCAGATTGCAAACGCCCCGATTCCATGAATTTTCGTAAATAAAATATTTGGAGGTTACGATGAGATGAAGCTATTTACGAAGTTTTAGGCGGATGTTAATAATTTGATAAAAAGAGATCTGTACCACGGACTATATGTGCACATAAAAATCTATGAAAAACTGAATCCCGTCTCGATCCGTTGAATTTTGAAACCATCTGAGTCTCATATATTATAACCTCTCATATACGCTACTCCCAAAATATTTATACTAAAGTAGTTGTAGGAATTTAATGGTTGAAATTGAGATTCGTCACTTCTCCAAGAAATTATCATTTCTCTTTAGGTATTCATCGAAATCCATCGCTCCTGTGAGCCGGAAAACGGGTCTCAAATATTCAACTTTTTTTATGATTCATTGCGGAAAAGACGTTAAGTAAACCGTTATCTGTAATAGTTCTGTAACATTCATACCCTCCGAGAAAGTGGGAAATATTTATGTAGCGCAGGGGACCGGCACTTAGGAAAGAAAAGGGATTCATTATTCTAAACGAGGATTTTAATCCTTAAGATAATTTCTCTGACCCCCGGAGGATAAAAATGTACTTTAAGGGAAGTTATTCCTTCAAGGGCCGGCTTAGGCAACTCATTAGCCTCGGTTATACTTGAGTACTTTAACGCCCCTCCAGACGTTTCCGAACTCATGAAACCTGACTTTGCATAATTTACTGGGTAGCATATCACTCACTACGCTGACGCGTGGCGCTAATGTCAACAAAGTTATTAAAACTAACCAACAAAATGCATTAATTATTATATAAGATCTTGAAGAATTTCACATTTTTTTAAAAATATATTCTAAAGTTAAAACACTATAAAAAAAATGGACCTAGAGGAATAATTAGGTGATTATTTTGAAAATTAGATGATATTTTACATGTGATTAGGATAGTATGTGGTATAGACTCCTTTTTATTGAATTATTAACATCCGCCTGAAACTTCGTAAATAGTTGCATCTCATTGTAACCTTTAACTATTTTATTTACGAAAACTCTTAAAATATGTAGGGGGACAAATTTTGTCTATTTAATTAGCTTATAAAAACTCGTAAATACCTCGTCGTGACCTTCACCTTCTAATTTTTAAAATAACGAGGTTATATAGAACAAACAGTCCAATATTCTTGTAGACTGCCTCTTTCATCAAATTATCCTATGATTCAAGCAGAAAGCAAATAGGTATTTATGAGTTTTTAGTAACTAATTAAATGGACAAAGCTTGCCCTCCCCTCCAGATTGAAAACGCCTCAATTTCAAGCGTTTTTGTAAATAAAATAGTTGTGGGTTACGATGAAATGAATTTATTTACGAAATTGCAGGCGGATGTTAATAATTCGATAAAAAGAGGTCTGAAGCACGGATTATGATTTACAAATTTAGTAAAGTTAGTAAAACAGCAAAAAAAAAAAAATACACATGCTAATACATCTGTTTTATAAACACCGAAATAAAATGAATGCCTTTAAATTAAAAATATAATAAACTAATTTCTTTTAATATTCGATCATTTTCATCACACTAAAAAAAAACAACGAAACATTATAGAAATTTGGATTAAACCACATTAAATCGGGTACTTGTTAATTATTCAATAGTATCACAACTATAGAAGAATAATTTATCTAATATTTAAAAAAATGTTTATTGTTTTGTAATTGAAAACTATTGGTATTCACTTTAAAAAGTAACGTTTAATAAACACATCAAAAAGCATTTTTCACGAGGTTAATAATACGAAAACGGCAATTGCGTTCTATCGGAGTGAATAACTTTTACCAAGAATGAAGGTATATTTAAACGACCATGAAATGAGCCTTTATTTTGGTTTCATTAATTTCAATAAAGAGCCATTGTAATCGAACAAAAAATTTTTTTTTTAAATATGTCAATTTGGAGCAAAGATATAGTCCCAAGTTGTTTTTTTAGGTTCTATTGCAAATATCAATAGTTTTTGATTTTTAATGTGTTACTGAAGTGATGCTATATATATATTTTTTAGCAAATTACTAATGACCAAAAAAAAAAAATGTTTAGTCAAATAATTGGAATTAAATTTTTTTTTCTTTTAATTTGTCACTATAAAGGTAATATTACTTTAGGTGTACAATTGATGGGAAATAATGAACCAGTGTTAAATAATTTGCAACGTTTTTCAATTGAACTCGCGTAAGACAAAAATCTGGTTAGTATGAGATGACGCTTAAACTTTACATAACAAGTATAATGGACAAGTATGTGATAGGTAATTATATAAACAAATTTTATATTTTGAAATTGCAAATTGAAAAAAATTTCTTTTAAAAATGCCTCGACGAGCCGAAACGTGGTAGTAGGATTGTGAAGTGAAAAACTCGGTGTAATGTTGACTTAAATAAAAAACTTAGAAACTGTATATATATAACTTTTATGTTGTATTAAATATACAGCTTGCAACAATCTGGAAGGTTTGGAATACATCTTGGACTGCTTTTTTTTTTTTTTACTAGCGTATCACGAAGAATCCGTTCCCACAAGTGAGATCATTTGAAGCGAAGATGGAACACTTAACGACTTTGCTGAGCCTCGAGAGGATGGTGCCGGCTAGAAGCAATCTCGAACCTATTGAAATGCATTGCATCTTCCTAGCCAATCAGCCCGTCGCCTCAACCGGTTTAATCCTTTTTGCGTTCATACATTTAAATCAGAACTGTAACGGATCGTTTCCTGCTGGAGATTCGCTGTTTAAACAGAGAACAACAACGGAAGAGGATTCTGTCATTGAGTCGGACAACAAAATAAAACATTTATTTTATTATATTTATTGAAATTGACCACCGTATTAAGTAAAACACAAACATTGATGCGAATAGAACAAGAATAATTACATGGAAAGACTTATCGAGATACTAAACAATGGTAGCTCTTCCTAAACAGTTTTCTGCAAGATCTGAGGCCATTTTCTTTTCAAACGATAGGGAGAGTTATCAGAAATTGAGAAAAAAACAAGGCTGGAAAAAATTTAGTTCGATTGGGTAGGTTTCTGTTTTGGGCCTAACTAACGACATATGGAATATTGAGGTATTTTTTTATTGATATATTTCGTTACAAAATATGGAGAATTGAGGAGTTTTCGAAGGGTTTGGATAGCAAGGATTTCATACAGGAGGAATTCGATGGTTTGGTGAAGTCCCAAAGCTCAACCCTATGTGTAAAAATAACGCTTATTATAGTCACGTAAATTTTTCTTTTGTCATAAATTGAAAGCTTAGAGCGTTTGTTCAGTAAGTGTTGGAACAGCCGGGCGATTCTAGGAGTTTCTTGTTGTTTCAGTCTTGTATGCGGATTCCAAGTAAGACGTTTGGTAAGACGTCCAATTAGAATGCTAGCGGATTGATTCAACAGGGACAAGTGGAATAATAATGAATTATACTGTAGGGCAAGAAGTTTTAGGTTTACGAAGGAGGGTAAAGGTGATTTGATGACATTTATTGGAATTTATTTTAAATAAAACATACTAATAATTTCAAATTCATTGGAAAAAAAACAAAAAAATAACAGGAAAGATTAATTAATTAGTCAATATTTCTAATTCAAGAGTCATCTGTATCCAAAGAAACTATGCAGATCAGAAATATTCTAAGCAAAGAGAGTCATTACTAAATATCCATACAGATTTAAAAATCATAGGTGCTTCATTTTTTTTTTTTTTTTTTTATGTTAAAACGGACACGCACAACATAAAAACTGTAAAATGTCTAAACAATAACATATAAAGTAACAGTTAGGTACTTACTGGTATTGATGAATGAAATAATTATATCTTCAATTTTTTTCCACTTACCTAAAAAAAAAAGAACCACAAATTAATTATTGATCCCTTTTTAAAAAAAATGTAATCAATAACATTAATTTTTAAAAGTAAATTAAAAGAACAAAATTAAATTAAATGAAAATTAATTTATCACTTAAGTAATAATTGATAAATCAATTGATTACTTAAGATTGATTAATATCTTAAATACATTAATAATCTGTAATACATTAGTTCTTTAAATGTATTTCATTTATCATCATATAATTACTAATCACAAAATTAATTGTTATTATTATAGCAGATTTTCATACAATTGTATTCTATAAAGCTAAAAATTTATATTAATTCATAATTCTTCTTGTAAATTCTGATATATATAAAAAAAAATCGTAAAAATTACTTTCGTTGTGAACTAAAATAAAAGTAAGAGTAGTATTTCAAAAGTTTAGATAACTAAAAGCAACAGAGAGAAGAGAGAGAGAGAGAGAGAAGAGAGAGAGAGAGAGAGAGAGAGAGAAGAGAGAGAGAGAGAGAGAGAGAGAGAGAGAGAGAATAGTGTGAGACCGAGAAAGAGAGCTGTACACATAAGCTGCGAGATAAACCCAAATGTTTACAATTTCTCTGAATCGTTTGGAATTACAAAAGCAAACAAAGCTGGCATCCGAATTAACACCCAAGCGATTTCGGGAGAGAAATCGGATAAACAAGTCTGTTATCGGAAACCAAATCTTGTGATCCGAAATTGATAAAGTAAAATATCCAAGAGTAGTTACTTATTATTTTATTTCTATTTTTTGTAAGATAGTATGATTCATGAGCAATAAACATCGAAAAATCTAACTGATGAACAATAATTTTCATATATTTACCTTATACAGATCTGTAGATATTAAGAATAATAAAAAGTATCAAATATTCATACTCAAGTCATGAGTGTCTGCGGCTGTAGCGCTCTTACTCATCCTCCGCTGGTTTAAAATACCAGTGAAGTGGCTGAGAGAGAATCTCGTAGGGATCTCCTAAGCCTCTCTTTTCCCTCCACATGTGGAGGGGACAAGATTGGTTCGGAGATCACCTGGCTGATTCTAAATAATGTATATAGGTATGTTTTATCCAAGATGTTTGTTTTACTTTTATTTCTATTTTTACTTACTTATGTGTATATATATATATTTTTTCTTTTCTCTTTTGTTCTTTTTTGTTATTACTTTATTTATTTATATTTTTGTATATACGGTATGAATGTACTCTCTGAACTCTATTATAAGTGTCCTTAACTGTGACAAATTGTGATATTTCTCAATAAAGTGTATAAAAAAAAAAATTAGATCTAAATAATTTTAGTTATTCATTTAATAAATATTATTATTACTTTTATAATAATAAGATATAATTCCATACTTACAATAAATATTATAGGACATATAAAAAATAAACCTGGAATAACCTCATATATTTCCAAGATGACAGATAACCATTTGTTTCGTTGCCAACAGCCGGCATACAAAAGCAATGAGGTTAGCTCATCAGCGATGCACCGCCGGTAGCAAGCGGAATATGCAATAGCTGAATCTGAGCCACCTCACAGAGTATCTTGACTTTGCCACTATATCACGGCCACAATCTTCTCGCTAAATTTGTACCCAGGATGATAATACAGTCGTAGCTCATTAGCGGTACAAGTCTTGCATAATAGAAGCTACTTGATTTAGAACAGAACCATGTCAAGAATACTTTTTATGTGAGAAATCCGAAACCAGACAATACAATTAATTTAAAAAAAATTAATTTTTCACCCCAATTTTTGTTTTCGAATCAAACTGATACAAGTCAATAACGAACTGACAATAGTTTTTCCAAAATTTTGAAAAAAAAAATTATGCGTTATCAGGGAAGCGCTGAGGAGCAAAGAAACAAAAAAAAAAAAAAAAAAAAAACACTGGTGTACCCAATCTACCTTGTTTCATATAGTCAATGATTTTTTTAAACATTTTTTTTTATTAATACATAAACATAAAATTAAATTTGCGATCTGTAAATTTCTTTGCAATGAGCAAATTTTTTGGCAGTTTTACAAATCCAGGAAATAGATCAGTTAAGCAGTTCCCTTGGCCACCACCTACGTTATCGTCGAAAAGGGCTGTACGGGTTTCTAGTGCGTTTAAGTTTTTCTGCCAGAGGATTTATGTTGTAAGTTAGTCCTTGGTGAAAGTTATTGTATTTTTTTTTTTTTTGCAGTGTTTCAAATTGTTGGTATTTCCAAGTATTTATGTAATCTGGATAATATTGGAAGTTTTAGCAGAGCCTTAAAGTTCAATGCCATAAGTCCAAATTGTTTAATTAAAACTTTATAGAGTGTTAGTTCGTTAGTCAAAGATAATTTTGAACGTCTGACAAGTAACCTAGATAAATTACCGTATCGTCTGTTTCATTCCATACGTTTTTGTCTAATGTGAGTCCTTCAAGTTAGTCTTTTGTGTACGTAAACACCCAAATATTTAATTATATCGTATGCCGGAATTTCATTTTCATAAAATATATTTTGGGGGAAGGGGTAAGGTAAGGAGTGAATACTACGTACACACTTTTTTCATCATTCATTTTAATTCTAAACCTTGTGGCCCGATCAGCAATATCGTTCAAGTGGTTTTGAAGAGTGGTGGATGCTCGAACAGGATTTTTATCAGAGCTGAAGAGTGCGGTATGGTCAGCAAAAGTAGCCAGTAGAGTTTCATAGTGTTGCGGTAGGTCAAACCTATATGTATTAAACAATATTGGTCCATTGACTCTACCCTGAGGTACTCCTGCTTTAAGTAGATTTAATGTCTGAATGTTCTGTTCCTACTTTTACAAAATGTCTGTTAAATAAGAGAGTATTATTAAATTAACAATTTATAATTGGTAAATTGGTTGACTGTCGTGGATAATGAAGAGAAGAATAGTTGGGGTGTTCAGTCAAAAAGGAAGGCAAAAATAAATGATAATATTTATTTTTTACATATGCCGACGTTTGATGGAGAATTCTCCCTGCAACACTTAAGGAGACAGCCCTGATGAAGGCCTGAACTTCAGGTCGAAACGTCGGCATATGTAAAAAATAAATATTATCATTTATTTTTGCCTTCCTTTTTGACTGAACATCCCAACTATTATTCTCTTCATTAAATTAACATTTTTATTTTTTTAAGTATTGACCCTAAAAGACCCACATAAACGTAAACTACAAACTTTTCAATCAAAACCTTTGAGGACTATAACCAAAGCTACCTGGAAAGTTAGCAGCATTATTTTACATGAAGACCAACATATGCCAACAGTTAACGACCATGTACGAACAAACCACAAAAGATTTCACAATAACTTACACAAACATACCAACTCACTGGTTCAATGCATGGCCACAACCAACATCCCTAATAGCATCCAAAGGAGGCTCATTAGAAGCTGGATGTGTGATCACCTCCATTAACAATAAATATTAAATCAAGATAGGAAGAGAGGCCGCGTGGCACTCCTCTCCCTCACTCCTACCAACGTCTCATTCTCTACTTTTTTCCTCGATAGCGCACTCGCTGGTTGATGGCACCAGTCAAATCAACCAATCAAAAGTAAGATCCAATAGATAAATCCAAAAGATAAAAAATAAGTCCTTGAAAATATTTATGAAAATGAATTGATGAGTTATTTTTTTGTTTTTTATATAATCCATATCAGTACATCATAGAAAATAAATTACAAAGGATGAGAGTACAGCTACTGAATAAACTTGAATGCAAGGGAAATACAAACAAATAAAAAATGAAAAATGGATGACATATGTCCTCAGTGCGACTAAACTAATGACAATAAATAGTGTTCCTAATGAAAGGCTA